AGATATTTTCGTAAAATGTTTTTGCAAATGACTGGTTTTATACTCAGTTTCTGTCAGACACTGTCAGTTTCAAACTAGCAACTTTGGAAAACGGAACTTTATTAAATTCGAAGATCTTGGCATTTTTGGCACAGTTTTCACAGCCTTTGAAATCTTTATCTCGCATTTCCAATTTTGACATTTTTGTTGTTGACAATGACACCATAGTAAGTACAGTTCCCAGATATAACTTAATTTATCCATTTTTAAAAATTGAAAATTCCCATTACTTCTATAATTTAATAAATAAAGACGATAACTGGAATAAAGTCAAAAGCAAAAAAAGACATCGCAGAGAATCCAACAAACCGATAATTCGATGCTCGGTGGATAATAGTACCCTCAAAGCAGTCCCACGAAGAAGCTTCATCCACGTGTATCGACTAAATCCTTCAACGACTACAAAGGATATCGAAGATCACCTCTGCATGTCAAATATATGCACTTTCGGAGTTGAAAAGCTGTAGTCAAGATATCCGGACCTATATTCAAGCTTCAAAGTGACCATTGATCATAAAGACCAAGACGTAGCTATGAAACCTGAAACCCGGCCTCCTGGCAGCTGTGTCAGTCGTTTTTTTTTCATCGGATACTAAAGAAGACCGCGTTGCCTTAGAGGTAGAAGGCTATTTGAACATTCTGTCAATCAACATCCAATCACTGAGGGCTAAACTAGCGGAATTTGAGGCAGCAGTAGCAGACGATGACTTCTCCCTCCTTACCCTTTGTGAACATTGGTTGACGGCAGTAGAAGCTGACCAAATACGTGTCAATAATTTTGCAACTGAGTCTTATTTTTCCAGAAACTCAACGAAACATGGGGGCACAATGATTATGAGGAACGCTGAGGTTTCTTGCACTCGTCTCCAAAATCTCGAACAACTCTCAATTGAGAAACATAGTGAGATATCTGGAATTTACATGAATAACCTAGAAATTTATGTGATAAATGTCTATAGATTACCCTCTGGAGATCTGAACAAATTTTTGAGTACTTTAGAAAAAGTTTTTGGTATAATTAACACATTAAAGAACAACATAATATTGACTGGTGACTTTAATGTAAAATTTGACAAAGAAGACCTCTTAAAAGACTGCTTATTAGATTTTATGAGAACTTATGGGCTTTTTCACTTAGTCGAATTTCCAACTAGAAATAACAACTGTCTGGATAACGTTTTTACAAATCTAGATCACGCACTTTTTCAAATTAGTCCATGGAATTTACACCTATCAGATCATAGAGGCATCAAAATTAAAGTGTTAATTTCGTCTACTAAAAACAAACAAAAAACACAGCTTATTAAACATAGGCCAATTACTGCTCTTGGTAAATTCAAATTGTACGAGTCGATGTCCAATATCAACTGGGACTTCATTAAGCTATGCAGTAATAATTCAGTTGACGACTTGTTCACAAAATTTGTAAATCTAATAGAAGGTCACGTAGGGCAAGCCTTCCCTCTAAAAGTAGTCAAGCGTCAACCTAACAACAACAAAACTGTAAAGTGGTTTGATAGTGAATTAATTCAAATGCGGGAAACATTACAACATTTATGTGATATAAATAATCTAATTGGGAGTGAACAAACCAAGTCAGCAAAAAACTCGTTTAGGAAAGTATATCGTGACAAAATAAATGAAAAGAAAATGCTTTGTAATGAAAAATTCATCTCTACTGCAAGTAATAAAGTCAAGGCTATGTGGAAAATTATCAACGAAACTCGCAATAAAAGTGTTAATAGTCAAAAATTAAGCTGCGATATGACCTGTGACGATTTTAACAACTATTTTATAAATGAAATTTCAAAATTGGGAACGCAAAGCAATAATGACTGTGATATTGAACTCTATGATATAGCAAGTAAGTCTACTCACTCCTTGATTAATAGCCCTAGTTTCTGTTTTAAAGAAGTGTCACACATAAAAGTGAGAGAAGCTATAGATAACCTGAAAAATAGTAATTCTTCTGATATCTTTAATCTTAATGTGAAAATTGTCAAAAGTATAAAGGACTTGCTGATACCTCCACTTGCAAAACTTATTAACTTTTGCATAAAATATTGCGTCTTTCCCAAATGTCTTAAAACAGCGGTCACTGTACCAGTATACAAAAAGGGTGATACTAATAATCCATCTAACTATCGACCTCTTTACTTCCCATATTTGGCAAAATATTAGAGAAAATTCTATTTGAACAACTTTGTACTTATCTTGAATCACATGCTTTACTTTCTGACTCACAATATGGTTTTAGGAGAAACCGCTCCACTGGTAGGTAATGCTGTTCAGGAGTTAGTTAATTTTATATCTCAGTGCTTTGAAGATCGTAAAATTGCAGTTGCGTCTTTTCTGGACCTGTCCAAAGCCTTCGACTGCGTCTCGCATAAACTTCTCCTCAGAAAACTGACAGCCTATAACTTGGTACCGTCTAGCATTCAACTTATTAGATCATATCTGGAAGATAGACACCAGGTTGTCAAATATAAGGAACAATTATCCGATTGTCTTCCTGTCAGAAAAGGTGTGCCACAAGGGTCCATCCTGGGGCCCCTCTTATTCATTATTTTTATTAACGACCTATCTTCTAGTATAGACTCAAAAATTATCTTGTGTGCAGACGATACAACCCTAATAAACCAAGCAACATCGACGGAGACTATCTGCGTCAAAAGAGAGGAGACGCAATCGAGGGCTGAGGATTGGTTCAGACAAAACGACCTCAGCTTGAACGCAAATAAAACTACCACTATGTTATTTTCTTTAAAAAATAGCGATGTTCCACCCGACTTCACCATTTCAGCACAATTCCTTGGGATACATTTGGATGCAAAACTAACCTGGAAAGTTCACGGCGACGAGCTGGCCAATAGAATTAACAAAAACTTATTTGTGTTAAGGAGTCTTAAAAATAAAGTATCATATCAAGTGCTCAGAACAGCATATTTTGCCTTATGTGAATCACATCTAAAATACTGTATCCTAACATGGGGTCATGCCAGCATCTGTAATCGCATATTTAGGCTCCAAAGAAGAGCAATAAGAATTCTTGCTGGCATAGGTTATAGGGATGATTGCCGTTCATATTTTACATCCTTAAGAATATTAACCCTACCGTCAATATATATATTAAATTCACTGCTACATCTTAAACTTAACATCAATAATCATATGAGACACAAAGATATTCACTCGTATAATACACGTCACAACGCTGCACTTCTTCCAAATTTTGTAAGGTTAAAAAGAAACCAGTCATTCAATTATTACTCTGTCAAATTTTACAATAAATTATCAGAAAGTACTCAAAATCTTGGGATAAAGCAATTTAAGAGACAAATATCAGATTATCTCATCAAAAATGCATTTTACAATTATTATGAATTCCTCAGTGTTACCTCAGTAATTGTGCCCCCATCCAATGTTTTGACTTGATTTTAAAGTTATAAAAATCCTTATGTATGTAATGTGCCTTGTATTGAATTTGTGACTTGTACAACGACTTTTGTTATATGTACTAATAAACATTATTATTGTTATTATTATTAATTGCAAACGTCTGAAAAAAAAATTGTATATTTTATTCGGAGAGAAGTAATTTTTTGTGGATCGTTACTTTTGCTCCTTATAAAATAATATACTATTTTACAGATGGGACTTTATTACAATTAAATTTAATCCTAAACATATCAGTTCCAAATTTATTACTTAAAATAAAGTTGTTTGAACTTAAACATTATATTTACGTAATTTAAAAAATTAAGGAAATAAAAAACTATAGACAATTAGATAGATAACTTTATTATTCCGAAGCGACATGATATTGCGATTATTATTATTGTTAAAAAAAGAGAGCTTAGAAACTAACGATCTCAAGTCTTGCAAAATAATTCCTGTCGTATGATTAATTAATTCTGATAAATTAAATTCCTGACTGGAAATTTAGTTGTTGCTAGGTAAGTTATTACATTCTTTGCTTAACAGTTTGGAAAAAAAAGTAGAATTAAGTGCGTCATTAATGCAGAAATAGTTGCCCGCATTGACTCGGTTTGTGAATATTCGGCGAACAATACAATTTTTCCGAAACAGGATTTGAACATACAATTTAAATCTGGGTTCAGGGGTCACAAGATCGTTACACGATTTGAAAGAAGTATTGTTTGCCCCTCTGACTATAAGAACAATGACCGTGAGTAACAATGTAGCACCTGGTTAACAAACGACGCGCCAAATAGTCAGGTTTTGCCTTAAAAATTTTAACACATTGTTGATGATAAAGGATTCATTTTTTGCAAAATGAAGAAACAGTACTTATGAAAAATTTAGTATTCCAAATGAGTCCATCTTCCTCTACATAATTACCACACAGTATAATGGTGTAGTTTATTAACATTAAATAATGACGAATAAGCGCTAAAGTATCTTAGTATCTCACAAATAACAGTCTTTCCGCTCAATCAGCGTTTCTTTTTCATTTGAGCGCGCAATTTATTTATTGTAATCAACACTTTTAAAATTAACTTACACTCACAAAGGTAAAAAAAATGAACATGCATCTGTTAACAAACAAATATTAAAAAATAACAATAAACAAAGTATAATGTTACCCACTAAACAAAATTGTCACGATTGCCGTTGCATAATAATTAAACAAAAACCACTACTACACCGTTATTAATACGTAGATAACGGTCCCCCAAAAACAAAAACTTAACGGCCTAACGACCCACTTTACCTACTTTAAAAACAAATAATCACCATAATTACCCCACAAATACCTCAAATTAGATCCTAAACACTTCCTTCGTGAAATTTACACCGTTAAGAAAATATACAACTACCAATAATTAAATTCCTCTTAAATAGTTCAACCTAATAAAAACCAGAAACCAAGCCTTTAATTACTAAGTATAGGCAACCAACAATCTCGATGTGTTAGTTCGCGAATCTGCCACCACCCGGCAAGTGGCGCACAGTGGCGCGAAAATTCTCCAACCAAAATATTTACTACAATCAGTCGAAAAAACCGTTCCAGACGCGATGGAGGAGTTCCCCACGTCTGAAGATGAGTTCGACCTCATGTACGGCGACGATCTCGAGGTGCTGCGCGACCAGGAAGGTAATCCCGGTGAAAACAAAAAGTGAGGTTAAACCTAACCCCAAAATTTTTAGATCCGGAGAAAAGTCCAAAGAACTCGCGAAAAAGTCTGGATTTTGCGTCGACAGTTACTACAAAGGACGCACCGTCGCAGGATTTATTCGAGGACGATTTTGCTCCGCTTGAGGATGATGAGGGGGCTAACGTACCGAGTTCTGTGGAGCCCTCGAATGCCAATAAACGCACAATTGAGGAGCTGTTTGGCGACATTGACGACATTTTGTTTGAAAATCAGACCAAAAAGAGGCGTACAGAGGGTGAGAATGCGGAAGAGTTGGCTTTGATTGAGCATATAATTGAGTTACGGAGACTGGCTAAAGAGAGGGATGCCCCAGATGTTGTAAGGAGGGACTACACTGGCGTGCACGATAGAGACAAGAATAATTTGTCGTATACCGTACCGAGCTACCCTTTCATAGGGGTAACCAGAGATGACGGTCAAAGAGTGTATATAAGATTCCATTCAGAACAATATGAGCTGGAAGAACGACAAAGAATAGTCCAGGAAATTAGTTCAAAGAGCGACTCCGCCTCAAATCAAGACTTATGGGCCCAAGCACAAGAACTTATTCTCAAACAAGTCGAAACTCAAGACGAACAATTTTTTAATCCCACTCCTGACGACAAAGAACTGTGGGTGGATATGTACAAACCGCGCAAATACTTTGAGCTTTTGAGCGATGAAAGCACCAATCGAGTGATGCTGCGTTGGCTCAAACTCTGGGATAAAGTCGTCTTCAAGCGAAAACCCAAAATTAAACCCGTCAAACCCAACGAGAAACAACCCAAAAATAAAATCGATTTGTGTACGGATTTGGACGAGCACGGGAGACCCCATCATAAGGTGGCCCTTCTCTGTGGCCCCCCGGGTCTCGGTAAGACCACCCTAGCGCACATGGTGGCTCGCCACGCTGGCTACAACGTCGTCGAAATCAACGCTTCCGATGACCGAAGCATCGACGCTTTCAAAACGTCCATAGAAAACGCAACCTCCATGCGCTCCGTTCTGGACACCGAAAAGCGCCCCAATTGTCTCATTTTTGACGAGATAGACGGAGCCCCTGCAGCTTCCATCGACTATTTGGTGAAGTTCGTCACTGGGGCTGCCACCAAAACGAAGAAAAAATCCCAACTAAAAGAAAAAAACGTGCTAAAGAGGCCGATTATTTGTATTTGTAACGACGTCTACGTCCCGTCGTTGCGCCCCCTGAGACAAGTCGCTTTCGTTGTTAATTTCCCCCCGACTTCCAACACCCGACTTTCTGAACGCTTGATGGAAATATCGAAGTGGCAGAGGGTCAAGACCGACATGGGGGCCATGCTTGCACTGGCCGAAAAGTCCCAAAACGACATCCGCTCGTGTCTTTCCGTCCTCCACTTTTTCAAGGCTCAGGATAAACCGGTCACGTTGTCCGACGTGCATAAAGCCAGCGTTGGGAAAAAAGACACCCAGAAGGGGATTTTTTCGGTTTGGCAGGACATTTTTTTGATTGAGAGGGGCAAAGGTGGGAGTAAGTTTGGGGGTTTGAGGGAGAGGATGGGTAAAATTTTGGACGGGGTGAATTCATTTGGGGACTACGAGAAGGTGGCGCAGGGGGTTTTTGAGAATTATCCACATATGAATTTTAAGAGTGTCGATATGAGCGAGACTTGCTTGGCGTTGGAGTGGTTTAGTTATAGTGATATGCTGAATACGGAGATTTATTCCACCCAGAATTACGAGTTGGCGAGGTATTTGCAGTACGCGTTCGTGGTTTGGCATTTTGTTTTTGGGAGCAGGACGTGGCAGAAGTTGCAGTATCCGAGTGCTGGATATGAGGTGAGTGTTGTCTATTTTTTTGGAAATTTAGCGCCTCCGATAATTATTGGGCTCGGGTTACGCCTCGTACGAATTTTTTTTGTTTATTTTTACTTCCTGTGTGTAAGAGTACGAAAAAATAGGTCTCCCGTTTCCGTCTGTCTGTTTCTCTGCTGTCTGTCGGAATTTTTATTAAAGATATAAACTACTTGCCCGATTGTTGTCAAATTTTATATGTATTAGGCATATCGTATAGATTTAAATAAATAAAAAATAAATAAATAAATGAATAAATTCACAAATCAAATTTTATAATTTTTCGAAAAATCTGGATTTATTTACGTTCGACCAATTTTTTAATATCACGACTTTTCAATTTTTCAACTTTAATTTTTTCAATTTTTCAATTTCTCGACTTCCAGATTTTTCAATTTTATTTTCTGGATTTTGTATCACAATTTTTCGTTTTTTCGTTTTAATTCCTCGATTTTCCAATTTTTAAATTTTTCAATTTTGCAATTTTAGGCTTAAATTTCCGAGTTCTATAATTTTCAATATTTCGATTTCACAATATTTCGTTTTTCCGATTTTGCACTTTTTCGATTTTTAAATTTCTCAATTTTTTAATCTTTCGATTTTTCAGTTTTTGATTTCTTCAATTTTTGAAGTTCTTGATTTCCAATTTTTAGGTTTTTCAAAGTTTTCATTTTATACTTTTTTGTTTATTCATGTTTAATTTTTCAATTTTATAATTTTGCAATTTTTTTCTTTTTTTAAAATTGAGAAACAAAAAATTGTAGAATCAGCACATTGAAAAATCGAAAAACAGTAAAAATAAAAAATTAAAAACCGAAACTAAAAATTGCGAATCGAAAATTTGAAAAAATGAAAAATTAATGAATTGAAAAATGAAAAATTGAAAACTTGGAAAAATTGCAAAAAAGGTAAAAACGAAGCTTTTTGAAAAATTGGGAAAACATCAAATTGAAAAAAGAGAAAAATTATAAAATCAAAATATTGAAAAGTCGAAAAATTGGAAATAAAGAAAATAAAAAACCGAAACGAAAAATTGCAAACCGAAAATATGCAAAAATTTAAAATTAAAATTTTAAATCTAAAATTTGAAAAATTTAAATGTTGGAAAATTGAAAAACTGAAAAATTTAAACTTGAAAACTTGAAAAATGCAAATCGAAGAATTGGAGAAACGAAAAATTGAAAAAATAAAGGGAATATAAAACCGAAACCAAAATGTGCAAATCGAAAAATTGAAGAAATGAAAAATCGAAAAACCAAAAAATTAAAAAATTAAAAATTGAAAACTCGTGAAATTGCAAATCGAAAAATTACAAAATGTAAAAACTGAGATATCCAAAAGTTAGAAAATCGAAAAACTATATTTAAATTTAAAACTGAAAAACAAAAAATTTTAAATCGGAACTTTCAGAAATTCAAAAATTGAAAAATGCATAAGTTGGAAAATTGAAGAACAGAAAAATTTAAATTTGAAAACTAGAAGAATTGCAAACGGAAGAACTGAAGAAAGCAAAAATTGAAACATTAAAAAACCAAAAATCGAAAAAATTAATGAATCGAAAAATTGGATAGAAGAAAAAACGAATAGAATCAATTCTTCGACCCACAAACTGAAAATTTTCACAGTGAAAAAGGAAAAACCGAAAAATTAAAACAATAAAGAAAATAATAAACCGAAACGAAAACGTGCAAAACGAAAAATTGAAAAATCAAAAACGTGAAAAGTTAAGAATTGAAAATTCGTGAAATTGCAAATCGAAAAATTGAAGAGACGAAAAATGTAAAAAATTAAAAGTACAAAGCCAAAAACTTATAAAATCGGACCCTTGGAAAAACGAAAAATTTTAAACTTAAGAAAATAAAAACTGAAACGAGAAATTGTAAATCGAAAATTTGAAGAAATCAACAATTAAATAATCGAAAAATTGGAAAATTCGAAAGTTGCAAAAATGAAAAACTGATTTTTTTTTAAATTTAGAAAAATTGCAAATTAAAGACCTGAAGAAAGGAAAAATTGAAACATTTATTCATTTATAATATAATTTCATATTTTATTCATTTATTTATATATTTATAGATACAAGATTCATTACAGGCAGTTTTCACCATGCGCATGCTTTGAATCTCACATTGTGTTCACATATACAATATTGGCAAAACAATAAACAAATAAAACAAAAGAATACTGCTTAGATCAGCTCACAACGATGAATTCACACACACCTGCGCGCGCACCCATTCGCACGTTGACACATTTCCCATACCTAGACAAAATTGCTTTTACTGCAGTTGTGCAATACCCGACGACCTAGGTCACTCAGAGTCACCAGGAGCCAGGAAGAACAGGTTCATGTATGTTATCGGCATATTACTGACGCCACGAGAAAACAATACACATAAAAATATTCGAAAGAAAAACTTAACAAGAGCTTCCTGCATTTCACACAGAACGGACTACGAAAATGGAGCAATATGCTGATATAATACAGTCAGCCGAATCTTAGAGTGTGTATATAGTCAAGAAGTAAAACTTTTATCTATACATTCATTGACATCGAATATTCTGGCCGGTAAAAGATTTTTTTTTTTCATTTTTTTGTTTGTTTTCGAGTAAAGAAAGGTTTCTACGACTTGACCACAAACTCACTTTTACAGATATAAATATTTATAATTTATTAACAAATATAACATTCAGTAAACTTTTTAAACTGGAACAGTGCAACTCGCCGAAATAAAAAATGAACAAACGTAATTTCATTGTTCCGTTTATTAGACTAGCGGCACATATATATTTTATTATTAATTAGTCACTACCGAACTAATAAAAGCATGAATTTATTAGAGTGATAATCCCGCCGAACCGAACTCACAAATAAGGTAAAACTCAAGGAGGACAGAAATGAACGAGAATTTAAATGAACATTTAAAAACTTAAAATTGAGAAACTTAAAAATCGAAAAAAAATTCAATAATAGAAAACTTGGAAAGAAAAAAATAATCGATTCGAAAAATTGGAAAACCCATATTCTGAAAAATTTCATATTGCAAGAAAAAATAAGATGAGGACATTGAAAATTGAAAAACCGGAGAATTGTAAAAATAAAGAAAACAAACCGAAACGAAGAATTGAAGAAATGAAAAATTAAATAATCGAAAAATTGAAAACTAAAAATTTTGAAATCAAAAATTGCAAAATCTGAAAATTGGAAAAAAACAAATGTTGGAAAATCGAAAACTGAAAAATTAGAAATTGAAAACTTGTGAAATTGTAAATTGAAAAATTGAAGAAACGAAAAACTGAAAGTGAAAAAACACAAAGTTATAAATTCGGAATATTGAAAAATCGAAAACTTGTAAAAATTAAGAAAATAAAAAACCGAAACGAAAAATTGTAAATTGAAAATTTGAAGAAATTGAAAATTAAAGAATCGAAAAATTGAAAAACTGAATAATACAAACTTAAAATTGATGAAAAAATATAAAATCAGAACAGTGAAAAACCGAAAAATTGAAAAAACAAAGAAAATAAAAAACCGAAACGAAAAATTTTAAATATGAAGAAATGAAAAATTAAAGAACCCAAAAATTTGAGATATTAAAATTTGAAAACTAGAAATTTTAAATCGAAAAATTGCAAAATCTAAAAGTTGAAAAATTCAAAAGTTGGAAAATCGAAAAACTGAAAAATTAAAACTTGAAAACTCCAAAAATAAAAAATTGGAACGAAAAATTGCAAATAGAAAATTTAAGAAATGAAAAATTAAAAAATTGAAAAATTAGAAATTGAAAACTCGAGAAATTTTGAATTGAAAAATTCATAAGTTGGAAAATTTAAAAAAATTAAAAAAAATATTGGAAAGAAGCAAAACGAATTGAACTGAAAAATTGGAAAACCCAAAAATTGAAAAATTTCACATTGAAATAAAGAAAAATTATAAAATCTAATATAATAAAAATTGAAAACTGAAAATTTTGAATTGAAAAATTGAAGAAACAAAAAATTTAAAGTGAAAAAACTAAAATTTATAAATTCGGAACATTGGAAAATCGAAAACTTGTAAAAATAAATCAAATAAAAAACGAAAACGAAAAATTGCAAATCGAAAATTTGAAGAAATAAATAAAAAATTAGAAATCTAAAAAATTAATAAATTCTAGAGTTGGAAAATGAAAAACTCAAAAATTTAAACTGGAAAACTCGAAAAATTGCAAATCGAGGAACTGAGACAAAAAACTGAAACATTAAAAACTAAAAATCGAGAAATTTAAAATTCCAAAAAAATAGATGAAAAATTATAAAATCAGGACACTTAAAAACCGAAAAATTGAAAAAACAAAGAAAATAAAAAACAGAAACATTGAAAAATCAGAAAACGCAAAAATAAAGATAATAAAAAACCGAAACGAAAAATTTCGTAAATCGAAAATATGAAGAAATGAATAATTCAAGAATCGAGAATTTGAGATATTAAAATTTTAAAACTAGAAATTTTAAATCGAAAAATTGCAAATTCTAAAAATTGAAAAATTCAAAAGTTGGAAAATTGCAAAATCTAAAAATTAAAAAATTCAAAAGTTGGAAAATTGCAAAATTGAAACTTGAAAACTCGAAAAATAAAAAATCTGAACGAAAAATTGCAAATCGAAAATTTGAAGAAATGCAAAATTGAAGAATCGAAAAATTGAAAAATTAAAAATTGAGAACTTTAGAAATTTTGAATTGAAAAATTGCAAAATCTAAAAATCGGAAAAATTCAAAATTTGGATAATTAAAAAACTGAAAAATTTAAACTTAATATTGATGAAAAATTCTAAAATCAGAACACGAAAACCGAAAAATTGAAAAAACAAAGAAAATAAAAAACCGAAACGAAAAATTGCAAAGCAAAAATATGAAGAAATGAAGAATTAAAGAATCCAAAAATTTGAGATATTAAAATTTGAAGACTAGATATTTTAAATCGAAAAACTGAAAAATTAAAATTT